TGCGTACGATATTGATATACGTGGCAGTATATATATTACCTATAATAATCGATCTTTTTCTGAACACTTATATTTTTAAAATGTGCATGCATTAATAGTGGCCACTAAATGTTTTTATACAATTTTTTTTCCTTTTTTTTATTTTTGTTAAACTGTCAATTTAATCTATGCATCAACAAAAGCGACGCATTACACACCATATTAGCTCTTGAAATTACTATTATTGCTTCCTGTTTTCAGGGGTGGAAATGCCATACTTATCTTCCGAATAAACAATTGCATTCACTGCTCATACTTGAAAATAGACTGAGGTGGTAAATATAATTTGCCTGTGGAAAAGTATGTTGCACTTTCAACTCTAAACTCAGGAAGAAAACGTCGCATTTTCGTTGTAAATATTATTGAGGAAAAAAAATCACATAATATGTAGTACACGAGACGAAAAACTTTATTCCCCTTGAATATTTTAAAGTCACGCTTGGAGTAAAAATCGTCCTTTTTCCTTTTTTTATGTTTTTTTAAGTAATTGAACGGAATTTTTGAAAATTTGCTTTAATGTTTGAAAATTGCATCTTTTTTTTTTAAGTTATCACCACTGTATGCTCAAATGTAAAAGTACATTTAAAGTTTATATGTAATATTGAAAAGTTCATTAATTAGCAACTCAAAAAATGTATGATAATTCAATTGTTTTCTATTTTACTTTTCTAAATATTTTTTCTAAGGAAAAATTGGTATTTTTATAAAAAAATTTAAGGGTCAAGTAACTTGTACAAAATAAAATAAAACAAGCTAACATTATTCAAAAACTTTATCATACGAAACTATCTGATGCAACATTTTTAATCATATAAACTAAAACTTACATTCATACAACTGACTTCATAAATTATTGAACTTTTTTTTTTTTTTTTTTCTTCTTCTTCTTTACACTTATACGCGTGAAAAATAACAAAATCGCTTGCACAATACTCGGACGCCATTACAAATCACAAAACGCTAACAATTGACAGACTATTAAAAAAAAAAAAAAAATTCTGAAGTAATCGGGGGACGTTTAATCGACTGGAAAGCCACCCGAGTGAGCAACATCAAAACCATCTGGTGAGGGCCATCCGTGTGTGCGATTCCTCCCAAGTGTCTATCGGAAGGCAGGGATGATTCACACCCAGTCAAAGAGAGAGAGAGAGAGTCCGTCCGTTCGTCCCTATCAATGAGTGCGAGAGAGGGTCACATTAATTGGTTCTCTGCGAGTGAACTTAACTAGCACGCTTGCGTTACCTTTGTGTTTGATGGGCCAATCGAGGAACACAAGACTTTCACACAACCGTTGGCTCCATGAGAAAAACTAGATATTGTGAACGAAAAAAAGAGAGAAATGAGTTGTCAGTCCGAGCGAGGCTACTCGAGTTCCTCTGTGTCCTCTCTTTACTTGGGGCCTCATGCGTATTCCTACCTCCTCTCGGTGTCTCTGTCCGTAAGCAAGGTGGTGCCTGGGCCCAAGGTAAATGCATCACCTTAAACGAGTGTACTCTTTAGATATTTTGCATATTCATGTATTTTACATTATCTTCTACTTTATATTTGCTGTTGTTATTATTATTATTATTATTGCCTTACGTATAATTTCTTTCAATTTTGTATTTAAAATTTTGCAGAGGCTATTTGAATGATAACTGTTCATCTTTGGATTGACATTGAATTGATAATTGATTGAACAAAAAGTGTCAAAGTATAAATATTTGCAATTAATTTCTGTGCACTTATAATGTTAAGTATACAGCCTCTTGAGTACATTCTTACATTGGCCTTGAGTACATTCTTGCAAGATGAAAATTACTTGGAAAATTCTCCAAAAAAAAGAACATACTTTAATCACATAGATAAATTTAACACCTGCATTTGTGCTCGAAATTAGGAATCTTCAAACTTTTACTTAAATTATTATAACTTTACTATTCAGTACTTTATTAATATCTTACAGTTAAACCATTCATTATGCAACAAAAATTGAAAATTGATATAGGTATATAAATCTAAAGTAGAAATGAATGAGTAGGTTCAAAATTAGTTAAGGCTATGAAAGAAACGGAAGAAATTCATTGGTTTTACAACAATCTTTCTACGTCTGGATCAAGATATCGCAACGCCACGCCAACTTCAAGCTTATCAAGAAAATCAATACTATTTCAAACTCAAATACCTGGTTCCCATATATTTTGATCTACAATATGCAAGGTCTCTCTCTAACTGTAGACAAGAGAATTATTTATCAAGAGTCTGAAGAACGCGAAGTGAAGAGTGTCTCTGTAGTACTACAAGCATGGATACCATTGACAAGTCTCTCCTGCCATTACTCACCCTCTTAGCTGAATAATAGGGGTTGGATTTAGTTAAATCAATTATCTTAATACAGAGATAGTATCTTACAATTTTCAGTTATGGTTATTTTAATATCTATAATACTGATGAGAATGGAAAACAAATTTTTCTAAAATCTTCCATATAATTGACCAATCCAATATTCCAAAATTATATCTGTATGTAAATCACTTTGCAGAAATAATATTTAAATACGTTATGTTTTTGCAATCAATCATGATTTTCTACAAAGTGATGAATCTTCTGCAATTAAACTGTACAATTAAATTGCATATTGAAAAAGGTTTAATCAATGATACTAAGTTCGAGCACACATCAATCATTCATAAACATTAGCAATTCCAATAATCTTCCTAGGATTCATTTTAATATGTAGGATTTTTGTCATTTAAAATATTGCGACATAACGTAGTATTCAGTGCACAGCATTAAATAATTATTTTCCTTAATATTAAATCAGAAAAGAAAAAAAACAAAAACAATTTGTTACCCGAATTCGTCTTAAATTACTCACATAACTTTAGTTTAAAATTTTAATTTTCATGACTCCAATTAATCAAAATTTTTTATATGATGTTCAGGACTTGAAGGATTACATGAGAAAAGCTGGCGAAGTAACTTATGCTGATGCCCATAAACAACGCAGAAATGAGGGGTAAATATTTTACTTGAAGATTAAAAGTTTTATGCTAATAATACAAAAATTTTGATGTCTTTTTTTAATTACAGAGTTGTTGAGTTTGCTACCTACTCCGACATGAAGAAAGCCCTAGAGAAGCTTGACGATACCGAGTTGAACGGACGCAGAATCCGTTTGGTTGAAGATAATCGTCGTGGACGTCGTTCGCGCTCCTCTAGCTCGAGATCACGCTCGAGGTCAAGGTCGCGCTCACGCATACGTTCACGGTCTCGTTCAAGGTACGAAAAAAATCTGACCTGACCGTGCCTCTCTTTCCTGTTGATATTCTGCTATAATTTTAACTTTGTTTCTTTTTACCCCTTACGCTTTTAGAAAGAATCGCATCAATTGAAAAATTTTTTTCAATCGTCACCGATGCACCTAATTTTATTTGAATTGCATCCTCTTTTTTTCTTTTTTTTTTCTTGTTCAATCCAATCACTTGCCTAATGGTCCGTTAGATTGTTCTTGTACCTACTGCGTTATTGCTTGATAAAAGTCCTAAAATTTTTTTATTATTCGAGTGCTCGTACCAAAAATTGTAATCCTCGTCCAATCCTCAAATGCTGCTCTTGATAAAAAAAGGAAAAAAAAAATTAACTTTTATCGAGCGGTTGCAGTCGTCGCGATGCACATTTAAAACTATTAAAAATGATTAACGTAAAAATTTAAAAAATGAAGAAAAACCCGGAGCATTTTGAAATTATTTTTGTATGTGCGTTAGGAGCCGCCGCAGCTCTCGTACACCTCTGTTTCCTTTTTTTTATTTTTGTTAAACTGTCAATTTAAGCTATCATTATTTTTAATCTTTAAAGCTTTTAAATAATTAGTTCATTTATGTTTTTACCTCCAATCATAAGTCAGGTCCAAGACAAACCTTCAATATACTTTTTCCCCATCATTATTATTTAAGGTCGTTCTTGCTCATGGCCATGTTTAGAGAGTTTGAGTCGGTAATGAAACATTCAAATCTTATTTAAATTAAAATTTACATTTCATACATCAGGCCACATTTGACTTTAAATTATTAATTATTAAATGAAAAGTTTGTATACAGGCATAACTACATATTCAAATGACATGAAGTTGCGTTTCTGATCCATCCATATCAGTCGGATGGTAGAGAAACTTGAAACTCAGTGGAACTGAGTTTTTAGTTTTGATCTCTTACTTAGTCACATGTATCGATCTCAGTAATTATGCTTATCTAGGTTTTTTGTTTTAATCACGATATATTCGTTTCTCTTCGAAATAATATTAACAAAGCTTTTATAATTCTCATTAAAGTTCATTATATATTAAATCTGAGCTCAATGTGCAATATGAATATTGCAAGAACCGCCTTGTAATTTTTTTTACACATGAAATATGAAAAAACTTTAGTCGATAGTCATACAAGTCTATTTATCTTGTAGATATGGACCTCCAACCAGAACGGAACACCGCCTCACTGTCGAGAATCTCTCAAGTCGTGTCAGCTGGCAGGTAAGCTTCTTACTTCCTTTATATCATCACTAAAATATACTTGCAAAGTCATATAATATATTAAGTATATTCACTATCTTTGCGAATCTCGAGAATCTGATTTTACTTTTCTTATATGAGCATTGAATACATGAGCAATTTTTACTTGAATTAAAGTAACTATTTTCTCTAGCCATCAAATTGTTGTCACGTGTTTTAGTTGAATGGGATTTTTTTTTTCTTACAAAAACTAAAGAAAAAGAAAAAAAATGTACATTTTGATCAAGTAAGTCTATGGCATACTTTCCTACACAAATCAAACTGCGATATTTGCGTGGATGAATAAAAAAATGTGGAACACAATCTGTAGGAGAAAATGGGAACCAGGCATGTGTAGGGCTCATTAAAAGAATTAGATTTGAAGTCTCCTCGAAACCATCTGACTGAAGATAAAAGGAAGAAACAAGAAGACTTGAAAATGGAACCAGAATATAAAAACTTGCGTTGGAATCAGGCAGGTTGGATTTTTCACAAGTATAAACCAAGATGAAAATTTTTGTTAGAAATATATACAAAACCTAATTCAACCCATGAAAGAAAAACCAGGTCTTACTTGATCAATTGACATTATTTTCGTTGTTGTTTGTTGTTGCTCATAAAATTATTTTAAATTGAATTAAATCTCAACCTTTTGTCAACCGGAACAAACTTAATCAGTATACTTCTCTAATTTTCTTTTCAAAATTTCTGTACGCAATTGAATATACGTTCTTGACATTAAATGTCAAGTAAAATTTTACTCGAGAACGGTAAATATAAAAAAATGAATGAATAATTGNAAGAAAAACTTTTCTATCCGTAAGAAAGTGAAAAAATAAAATTAAAAATCACAATCCATTAAAAAAAAACAAAACATTTACTTCATTTTTTTCTTTTATCACCAACCAAACGATGCTTTTATAAAAAATAAACTAATAGTTTGTGTGGTCTTGTGTTTGTTACAGCCGAGACGATATGCGACACGACAGGTACGCTATGGCTGCATTTTCAGTAGAACAATAAAAAGATAATTGTTGATGTTTGATTATGAAGTGGCATTAGGTGATTTATTGTGTGCCTGTGCAATGAATGCTGCATTCGATTATTTTCAATTTTATTTTATTCCTCTTTACACGCTCCTTCATTATTTATTCCTATTGTTTTTCTATTGAGGTATATTTTTATTGGACACTAGAAGCCGCTTCCAACGTGAAGTTGGATGGTAAAGAGAAAGCTTAACAATGTTAGCTTCCAGCTTCTGGTATAAAAATGTACCTTTACTGTATGCCACTTGCCATGTCCTATTAAGGACTGCTTACAAATATCTGACTGTAATCTATTTTATTTTATTTTTATTTATTTTTTAAATTTGAATTTCTGTTCACATAAAATCCCTTTTTGCAGAGATAGTGTGAACAGAATGTCGAGGACCTCATCTAATAGCTACAAGCAATCATTGCCCAGGTATATATTTGTTTAATAAGTACTTTACACAAAAAAACCTCTAATTCAGCATTTGTCTTTTCCTTATTTTTTATCATTCCAAACATAAAAGTTGAAAAAAACAATTTTTTAATCATATACATTTGTCAGTTTTAATTCTTTACAGTTTCAACAAAAAGATTTTTTTATTTATTATAACATGATAAGCGTGGCAAAAAGGTGTAAATCAACGGCTTTTTAGGGCAAACAATTATCTGAGTATGCGAGTCTTTCGAGGGTTACCCCTTGCAAAGTTCCTGTTAGACGACTAAAGCATCCATCCTACTGGATACTGTTTACAGGGCACAGCAATTGTCTTAAGT